ATGTTCCATAAAGGCACGTAAATGTAGTTTTCTCTTGATCTTCAGGAGCAATAGGAATTTGGTGATAACCAGAATAACCATCAAGAAAACAATAAAATTCCTGACCAGCAAGTTTTTCAATCGTTTGATCAATAAAGGGAAGGGGGAAATGATCTTTTCTAGTAGCATCATTCAATTTCCTATAGTGGATACATACCCTCCAACCTGTTACTATCCTTGTAGGGATTAATTCATTATTTTCATTTTCAACTATAGTGGTCCCACCCTTTTTTGGCACAACTTGCATGGAACTTACCCAAAAAGAATCAGAGATAGGAAAGATAATACCTGAATCAAGCCACTTTATCACCTCTTTCTTTACTACCTCTTTCATATTAGGATTTAACCTCTTTCAGGGCTGCACCGTAGGCTTAAATCCTTCTTCCATCATGATTTTGTGCATGCAAACTAATGGACTTATTCCTTGAATGTCGCCAATGCTCCATCCAATCGCCTTTTTGTGTTCCCTAAGCACCCTTATCAACTTTTCTTCTTCAAGGCCTGTCAAGTAAGAAGAAATAATCACAGGTAAGGTAGATGAATTCCCTAAATAAACATATTTTAAATGCGAAGGAAGAGGTTTAAGTTCAAGAGTAGGAGGCTTCTCGATTGATGGCTTGGCTTTTGAAGAAGAGGAAGAAATATCCAAAGGCAAAATTTTTTCCCTTTTTGTCACGAATCCTCTTTGCTTTTCTCCCAAATAGCCTGCGGCCTCCTTATGCCTCTCATCTAAAATTTGTTCCTTCACATTAAAAGAGTTAGCAATGCAATTTTCTATAGGATCATCTAACTTAAATGCGTGAAATTTTCTTTCTACCAAATCATCAATGCAATCTATCATTAAGACTTCTTTTTCATCATTGGAATGTTTCAAATCCTTTAAACACATTTAAAATAACTTCATCATCATTAATCCTAAAGCTAAGTTTTTCTTGTTGGACATCAATTAAAGCTCTTCCTGTGGCAAGAAAAAGTCTTCCTAAAATTAGGGGCATATCATAATCTTCTTCCATGTCCAAAATGATGAAGTCAACAAGAAAAATAAATTTATCTACTTTTATCAAAACATTTTCCACTACTCCCCTTGGATATTTGATACTTCTGTCAGCCAATTGTAGAGAAAAAGTGGTAGGTGTTGGCTCCTTCAACCCAAACTTCTTGAAGAAAGAAAAAGGCATCAAATTAATGCTTGCACCAAGATCACATAAAGCCTTATCAAAATTAATTTCGCCAATGGTGCACGGAATAGAGAAGCTCCATGAATCCTTGAGTTTTGGAGGTAATTTATTTTGTAGGATTGCTAAGCATTCCTCATTAAGCTTTACCATATCAAACTCCTCCAACTTTCTTTTGTTTGAAATTATTTCTTTTAAAATTTTGGCATAACTTGGCATCTGAGAAATAGCATCAAGAAGAGGAATGTTAATATGCAACTTTTGAAACACCCCTAGAAATTTAGCAAATTGCTTATCCAATTTAGCCTTAAGAAATCTTTTAGGAAAAGGAAGAGGGGGTTTGTAGGATTTTAAATTAAGAGTAGAAGAACTTCCCTTTTTCTCCATTGATGACTCGTAGTCTCCTTCTTTGGCTTCAAGGTTTCGGATTTCTTCCTCTTTTACCTGCTCATCATCTTTTTCTTCTTTTCTAAGTTCTTTTCCACTTCGCAGAGTGATGGCCTTTACTTGTTCCCTGGGATTCTTCTCGATATTGATAGGTAATCCTCCTTGTGGCCTTGCCGAAATTGCTTGAGCAAGTTGTCCAATTTGAGTTTCTATCCCTTGAATTCTTGCCTCCGTACTATTGATAAATTTTGCCATCATATCCTCTAAATTTGGTTTCTTGTCTTGTGGATTTTGTTGTGGTTGCTGCTGAAATCCGGGAGGTGCTCTCTGTTGGTTATTACTCCAAGAAAAATTCGGATGGCTTCTCCATCCTGGATTGTAAGTGTTGGAGTAGGGATTGAAATTGGACATGTTGCCACCATAAGAAACAAAATTAGCTTGTTCAGAAGAAGAAGAAGAAAATGAATTTCCTACTTGACAGTCTACACTAGCATGTCTCCCTTGCCCACAAAGCTCACAAGAAGGGAAGGGAATAGAAGAAACACTCCTAGCCGAAACCCCTAAATTTTCTAATTTCTTATTTAATGCAGCAAGTTGAGCCGATAAAGTAGTAATAGAATCAGCATTATAAATTCCAACTCCCTTTTTATTTGATTTCTCATTGCCCCATTGATAGCTATTGGCTGCCATCTCCTCCAAAAGTTCATATGCTTCTTCGGGAGTTTTTCTCATAAGGGTACCACCTGCAACTGCATCTAACATTGAATGATTAGATTGATTAATGCCACTATAAAAAGTCTGCACTTGCATCCAAACAGGTAGACCATGGTGAGGATACTTCCTAAGTATTTCCTTAAATCTCTCCCATGACTCATATAAGGTTTCATTATCAAATTGAGAAAAAGTTGTTATGTCATTCCTTAATTTAGTCGTTTTAGCAGGTGAAAAATACTTAGATAAAAACTTTTGTGCCAAGTCATCCCATGTAGTAATCGAACCTGCAGGAAGAGAGTTAAGTCAATCTTTTGCTTTGTCCCTTATGGAGAAAGGAAATAACCTAAGTCTAATGGCATCATCACTAACTCCATTATGCTTAAAAGTATCACATATTTCAAGAAAATTAGCAATATGAGAGTTAGGGTCATCATTGGGGCCAGAAAATTGCACACTCATCTGGATCATCTGAATAATTGCAGGCATGATCTCAAAATTGTTTGCTTGCACATTCAGCCTCATAATGCTTGATGTAGTACCATCCAGAGTAGGTATAGCGTAGGAGATCAATGTCCTTTGATTATTTTGGTATTGAGCAATCTTGTTCTTTCTCTCCCTCATTCGCTTTTTTAAAGTCCTTTCGATTACTTAATCAAGGGGTATTAATTCTCCACCACTAGTGCGTATCATGCACTAAGAACCTTTAAAGAAAAGAAAAAGAAAGAGAAAAAAAATTAAAAATTTCCTCAAAAATTTTATAAAGTTGAACCCAACAAAAATTGAAATGGAAAATTTGAAATACGAAAATTAAACAAATGTATGTTCAATCTAAGGCTAATTCAGGTAGTTTTGATATGCAATAAAATAGTCCCCGACAACAGCGCCAAAAACTTGTTGTGTGATTTATGCACAGTTAATTCAGGCAAGTGTACCTTAGTCAAATGTGCATATAATGATGAGAAAAGTGTCGATCCCACAGAGACTAGATCTAGTACCAAATCAATTTTAAACTAACCTAAGTTGAACTTGTGAATCAATTGAATGCATAAAAACTAAAAAAATTCATGCAAATCCAAGAACTTAATAAAAACTGAACTAATGGATGAATGCAGCTAGGGTTTAGATTTCATTAAATCAAGGTTATATAATTATCTATTTAATCCAACTTAATACCGAAATTACCCTAAGGTATATTAAAGTTATTTGCATGTGATGGTAGATTTCCCTAAATTAATTAATAAGTTGTCTCAAGTCATATTAACTCTTTATTAATCCAATTCTACCATCAAATTTCTAAGTGGTTGTCAAAAAGAAAAATAAGCATTAATTTCTTTGGAAACCTCTAACCGTAGAAGGGGATTTGACTCACTAAGCTTCCTTGATTCCCACACATGAGCTAATCATCTTTCGATATCATAGTCTATCATGCGATTTTTATTGCCTAGGGATCTAATTCATAACAATCCTTTGGTCAGTCATGCAAGAATCATCAAATCATTAAAAGATTGGCCAATTCTTTTAAAGCATTAAGCATAGAAATAAAAATTCCTCATGCAAATAATAAAGGTCTTGAATTGAATTAAACAAATAACCATATAATCTTAAGATCAAAATCCATCTAAACCCTATCTAAGAGAATTTAGCTAGACATCCTTAAATTCAACATACTCAAGAAAATTAAAGGGGAAACACAACAAGAACACATCAAATAATGAATAGAATAACAAGAAAATTTTAGCCTTTGGAGGTCGAAGACAAGTGCAGCAACTAAGCCTTTCCCCCTCTTGAATTCGGATTCTTCCTCTCCTTCTCTGGTGTGCTGAAATTGCTTCCTCTTCTCTTCTGATGTGCTGAGACTGTTTCCTCTTCTCTTCTCCACTGAATTATCTTTAAGGATGTGCCCCTTTGCCTTGAGTCTATAGTCCTTTTTATAGTGCAGCCTTCCCTCAATTGCTTCTCAATGCAGGCTCCTAATTCAACACAAATTTGGTCTCTTAGTCTTTATCTCAGTTGAATTCTTATCTCTTCTACACTACCAACTGCCAGACCCGAAACTTGAAGCTTGAATTTCACTTGGTTAGCGGTGGAATTAGGTTGAGTGATAAACACAAGAGTTGTAGCCCTATCTCTTCTCTTTAATTATCCGTTTGAATCACCTCAATCCGAGTTATAGGCAGAAGGTTATGTCCAAAATACGGGAGCTATATCAAAATAGGAAATTTTCCGATTTTTGTGCATACATATCAAATCTGATTTCAATGGATTTTCTCCTTCATGGCTACATCCTAGAGCATCATTGCTGCATGGTCCTTCCTATATGATTATCTTGACCAATTAAATTGAATTCCTCCTTAAAATTGCACAATTATGCTCCAAGTCATCTTGCAAGACAATTTCATCATAATTAGTGCAATACCATGCAAATTCCAAAAACATTATTACCAAAATCATCAAGTTAGAGGTATGAAAATATGTAAAAATATATGCTTATCATTAGACTAGATCAGCTTCACCCCAATTCTATTAGGACTTTGGTCGGCACCATCTCTTTCTGTCACCACATCAGCTTCCCCTAGATCTCAAGACCTTCACCGATATATGCCACATAAAGAAAATTCCCTCTAGTACTCCCGGGATGTATAACTTCTACTTGTCCTACCGGCTTGGGTGTAAACTATTGCAAAACTTCCCTTCCAAGGTATTAGATTGGAAGAGGAGGTATTTCTTTCTTGACCGCAATGGTGGATGACTATTCTCAACGGATTGGAGAGTGGGGACTAGGGACTTTGGGGAGGATACGTTGAGTGAACAGATGCAGATTAGGGTGCAGATCTTAGTGGACAAGAAGTTAGAGTTGAGTGAATTTTTGGCCGAGGAGAAGCAGATCCAAGCAGAGATAAGTCCTCCAAGTAGGTTGTCATTTCAAGTTCTAGCATATTTCTTCCTTTCTTTAGTCATGACTTATCTTTGGATTTCTCGTGCAAGAAATATGTTGAGCGTGCCAACTTTCAGGTTGTTCCCGGCTATAAGGAGGAAGAAGAGGAAGGTAACCCCCTAGGAAGCTCTTCAGATTGTAGCTTCTAAGCCCGCTGAACGAAGTGCAGTTGAAGTTGTTCCAGTAGTTGACCAAGGAGGAATGGCTAGAGGGGACCTTGCTTGAACCTGAGGCCGCTCAGACTTCTAAGGAGCCCCTTCCACAGGTCAGGGCTGAGGCGACCACTACTTCGGATGCTCGGGCCACTTTCGAGGAGAAGCACACCATTATGGACTTCTGGATTGCCCTAGTAAAGAGCATAAAGGCCATCTTTCTAGAGGAGGTCGCAGAGCTCCGTGAATCGCGTCCCAGTGAACTAGGAGGGGAAGCTTATGCGTTGCCTCTGGTGGTATGTACCCAACCTCTTCTTTCGTACTTAGTCAATAGAGTCGACTACGTGGGTGTCGAGGAGCTGATAACTCTGCATTTTGATGCCTTAAGGGCATCAATTCAGGGGTATTTTCGGCCTTAGAATAGTCAAAGTGCACCATTTTCCCAGTTAAAATCAATTATGTGACCTCCGAGGGTCTCTGTGCAAAACTGAGAAGTTTTCATGGCTGAAATGCAGATTATGGCAAGCTGGTGTGAACTCCAACTGAGAGAGGGGGTGTTTTTGTGAAAAATTGAAAGTAGGAGGGCGCTTCCAAGCTGCTAAACCCAGTTTGGCGCCCCTCCTACTGTATTAGCATGCTCTCCACATTTTAGCAAACCCTAGGGTGCCTTTTAACCCATTCTTTTCACTCTAAACAAACCCTAGCCGCCCCTAACTGCTAAATTCTCACCTTCCATCCCTTCTAATCTCTACCATCCATTATAGGGCACTCTCTTTTTAGCATCTAACCCTAGGAGCCACCTAACTTCTAATATTCACCATTCAGCCTTTAACATTAAATCTTATCCTTACATAATATTAACTGCCTTTTCTTGTTCTTCTCAGCCTTAGGATCACCCTAAAACCATCTTAACCCTTCATTCTAAACCATAAGGCACCCATATTTTTGCTAAAACCCAGTTGTCGCCCCTCTCTTTCTCTCTAATTCCAGTTGTATCTACCCTTCTCTATAAAAAGGATCCTAGGGGCCCTGGAGAAGGGGTTGGTCAATTTGCCCAGTTAACAAGGCTAAGGTTTTTTGAGGAGTTCAAGGGTTGTAGAAGGGGAGGACGCCCAAATCTTGTCAAGTGGGGTTTCTGCAAGCTGTTCAACCATTTTGCAACTACCGCCATTGGATCTGATCAACCATTCTTTTCTTTTCTTTATTTTCTTTTTTGTTATTTTTATTTATGCAATCTTTTAGATTTAACTCTTGTTCATTTCTCTGTTTTGCATATCTGAATTCGTTTAGTTCAAGCCAAAGGTGTCTCAAGGGGTTTGAGGGTTGTAGAAAGGACGGACGCCCAGTTCTTGTCAGGAGGGATTTCTGTAAGCTATCTGGTCGATTTGCAACTACCGCCACTAGATCCGGATTCCGGATCATTTTTTTATTTATTTCTTTTATTTCTTTTGTTGATTCCCCCATACTTTATTAAATTCTGATTTTTATTTATTGCCTTGTTTAAATTCGAAACATTTAATTTCAGCAATAATAGATTTTATTTTCATATTTTCTACCATTCTCGGTTGCATTTTCTTGTCCATATATAAGTATATATTAATTTTTCACTTGCTTCCCTATGGATATGACCCGTTCTCACTCATTTACTACATTATTAGTTGTTTGAGAAATGGTAAAAATTATAAATGTTTAAACTAGTGTTCCGGAATGATTAACGACACGCTTATGGACACACCAAATTTTTGGCACTGTTGTCGGGGAAGCAACGAAGAAAAATTTTATTTGCCTTATCCGGATCTGTTTCATTATTTATTTATTTTTGTTTTATTACTTGATCCATTATCTCATTTTAATTCTTACTTCTCTTTGATTTTGCAGGACGAAATAGCGAAAGGTGGGCTACCGGAGCATTGTGGAACTGCAAGACGGAAGAGAAGAGGAGAAATTGGATTGCATTTCAGGTGTAGTCATTCCATTTTATTTTTAATTTTCTTATTTTATTTTCAAACTCTTTTTTTATAGAATAGTTATTTTTGAATTTTTAATTAATTTATTTTTTCTAGATCTGATTTATTTTTAGTATCATTTTGCTTCCCTTTTATTTCTAAATCTATTCTTCTTTCTTTATTTTAATTTCTTGTTCAATTTTTTTGCTTTATTAAGCTTGTTTTTTTCTTTTATTTCAGATTTAAAAAAAAAGAAAAAAAGCAAAAAGAAATTTTGTTTATTTTATTTCTTGTAGCATAATTATCTTTTGTTTATTTTATTTTATTTTATTTTCGGTTTAAATATTAGATTCATTTTTTATTTTATTTCAGATAAAAAACAATAAAAAATAAAAAAAAAGTAAGAAATAAAAAAAAAATCATTTATTTTATTTTATTTTATTTTTGCAGCATATTTTTCTTTCGTATTAATTTTAGATTTTTGTTTTTCTTTTACTAAAAAAACGGAAAAATATAAATAAAAAAAAACAGAATAATTTTTTTTCTTTTGTTTATTTTACTTTTTGGTTTAATTTTTTTAGATTTGTA